TACACAAAATTATAATATTAGGTATGTAAAAATGACCTTAAAAATGCAATAAAATACAAAAGAAATGCAAAATAAAAATTACATATTTTAAATTGTTATATTACGAAACAAATTCAGTTTTTGGTTAGAATTGTATAACACTTAGAGAAAAAAAATGCAAAAGTCACAAAAATCCTAGCTCTAGTAATATTATACATACAAAATATAATGCACCCACATGGTACAAATAGGAAGTATATTTTTTTTAAACATCGTTACATCCAAACGTTATAGTATATCAGTGAGTACTTACTCTAAAAACTGTGTTGTGAAGTAACCGAATTAGAAAATATTGAACGATACTCAAAAGTCATGACATTAAAATACTTTTTAAGTGATTTCACATTCGGATCTTATTATGATTTCGAAATCATACAAGACAATTTATAATATACAAAAAAAAATACCGCTCAAGTGTCGACAACGTGTCTTAACCACGAGAATTAATCACGTACTTATGGTTTAAAACGAACAATTTACTATACGTACTTATACTTTTATGTTATGGCGGCATAAAGTGATTATAACACGCTGAGTTATCGGGTTGTTTTTTTCTTTTGACCCGCCCCCCGCCGCGCAGTATGGATAACGGACTCATCGTTAATCTCGTGCACGTTGCCCGACCGAAAAACTTTTCCAGTCGATTGGGGGCGATGTGTCTGATGTCCACTGCTACCAGGAGGAAGAAAAATCTACTCGAAATCACTCGAGAACACTTCGTGTCTTGCGGGTAATCTGCCCTTTTGGCAGCCCGCATCTGGTGTATCCGATAGCGTCCGTTTACGGTTTATTCTCGATTTTTGTGTTTTTATCGAAAAAATCAATTTTGTTTGATTGACTATGCTCTTTTTGGAATTCGGAGAATTGCGGATATTTTATCATACCCACACGCCAAGTGGGAATTCATTTGAAACGAAAACACTTAGCAAGGGTTTTTTTCTGAGAAATTAAAAATATTGTTTTGTTTTTAAAGTATATTAACTTCTGGTAATACACGTACAGATTTCTGCCGGTTTGGCTATAATTTAAACTTAATTGCGTATACAAATTTATTGTTTTTACCTACTCCACTGCGACTCCTGGGTACTATAAAACGGAGTCAACTTAATTTTTTTTTCAAAACACCAACTATTTTACATTTTAATTTATCATAATACATAAGAAAGAAAATGCAGTGTAAACATAGTTATACTCAAATCATTGATGAGGGCTGAAATAATGAGATGAATTCAGCTAGGCACAGAAACGATCATTTTTTAAATAGTTTTCATTTTATTTTTAAACTAATTTCTCCGTATTTTAATTATATTATGAATTGTGATCAACAATTATTTTTTTTGCATGAGACAAAAATAAACTCTGTTTTATATATTTAATCGTTTTTAAGTACTCAACAGGTTTTAGAAACCTCTTGGTTTATTTTTCACCCTAAATCAAATAATGTAACAAACAATCAAAAAATTATAAATAAAAATCTATTGCGATATCGCTAGAAAAACTCATACTAACTAAAAACCGCAAACACGAATATTACATTAAACCGTTGTAAGTAGTTATTATTCATTTATTCGTGCATAATATTACCTGAGCTAAGATAAGATATTTAATTTAATAAAGAATAGCGTACTTTGTCTCTAACAACATATTACACATACAATGTAATAATGCATATCAGTACAAAATAAAATTATTATATTATATTGTTTGAGCTAAAAGTGTCTTACCGGTTCCGTTAAATAATAGTTTATGCGTATATGGTGAATTATTATAATTGGGCTTTTGTAAATTGCAACAACAAAGAACCACAAGATTGCTATAAATAAAACGATAGTTTGTGAATTAAAAAACAAAAATCCGAATGCATAATTCGATCGGTCTCGTATTTTGAGTATTTTCCTCAGTCCGATTCCTTTGTGATTGATATTTAAAGATATTATTTTTATTATATGTTCAATGCGCAAAGGATTTTAAAAGCCAAACTAAATATATACTAAATGTATACGCGTAATATCATAATGTTAGAATTGTATGCATTTAAAAAAGAACTGTGGCTCTAAACTATATATTTAAAATATTAGGTGATTACTGATTTGATGGATGAAAAATGTAATATGTAAAATTTCTTAAAAATATAAAAGTCAATTGTCGAATAATTATACCACTTTTAGCTATAAAATATATCTCTCATCATTTTTTATTACATTTTAGGCTAATTTTACAATGCATTTGGACTTTTTCTTATACTACAAACAGTGATACAGTGGTGTACGCGTAATCAATAAGTAAAAACATTATCTAGTAAAAATTATTAGTAAAATTGGCTTTGCATTAAATGTAAATAGTTATTTACACCAGTCTATAATACTGTTCATTATCAGACATTTATATAATGGTAAATTTTGTAGTAGATTTCAAATAATACGAGGACCGACAAACTTTCAAGTATCCAACTAAGTTAAGATTTTAGTTATAAATTCATCACTATAATAATGCCCCTGGTATGTTTGAAATCTTCCTTATCATTACGACTTGCGTGGTGAACATTTATTAAAGTGTGTTAACTCACGTTAAAATGTATGAATAAACTTACTAAACTTCAACATTAGGGATTCCGCTAAATTTTCAACTCATAATAAACTAAATAAACACTGTTCGAGTACAAAATCGTAATAACAATATTATGTAATAAATAATATGTTATCAGTTTTTAAAATAAATTTGAAAAAACCTCAATAACCTAATAGTTAGTAGGTAATTGATTAATACAAATATAATATTGCAAACGGCACAAAAAACATATACAAATTATATTGAAAATCTTAAGTAATGACGTATAATTGGTAAGCACCTGTAAGTATGAACTTATTATAATGGCACAATAAATAAATATACAATATAAATTTATATAAGTATTTATTTTAATTAATGAGATTGTATGAAAAGCGATGTTTATTACGTTTAATAAATTTAACATTTAATATTAGAGCTTAAAATTAAATATTCTGAATTTTTTTTACCACCTTCGTAAGCACCACATATATACTGAGTAATTAATAGTTAAAAGTATTGTACAAAAATATCTCGGACGTAATTGTTACGAAATGTTGAGACAACCGTATAACCTTTTACATTTGTACGACTGGAAATTTAAAGTTCATCTCGTTTTGTAAAACAAACATTTAATCAAACAATAAATAAAAAAAGAGTATACAAAGTTTACAATTTGTGAGTGTAGTAGGATAGTCCTTGATGAAATATTTCTTTGACGACCATCGTCGACTCATAGGCAATTATAAGTGGCAAATAGAGACGTAGGAAGACTTGATCACGCAATTTAAAGTTTTGATAATAACTATAAATTTAATAAAAGTTTTTATCTATACTCTACAATATTGGTATTTTGTCAATTTGACAATAGCAATAGATGTGTACAAATATAAAATTGATACTTAATGTGATTGTCAGATTGTATTATTTTTATATGTTTTCTATAACTCTTTTTTGACGATTTTATTAAGTAGAGTCTATAATTAACTAAAAATATGTCTAATGACTATATTATCAATATATTGTTTCCTAATATTTCAATTAAATGAATGTTTGGGTACACCAAAAACGAACGTAGGTAGAAAGAAAGCGTCTAATGATAGAAACTGCACAAAACTGATTGACTTTCTGCTTACCAAATTTTCTCAATCTACCTATACCAAAATCAAAAACCCGCTAAATCTTGCCAAAATGTGAGTATTAGAAAACTTATACTAAAAACTGTTTCCGTATCAACGAAATTAAACAACCGAACACTCTCATCGTGTTTTTTCGCTATCAAAGTACCATAATATTATAATAACCGCGTTTACTAGCAAATGGTAATTACGTCTCACAGTAGATATATATTTTGTCAACTCCGAAAGACACACACATACACTTAATTACAGAGGGTATGTATGTTTGAGTCATGTTTTTATTGTGACACTAACAACGTCGGGCCAACTTTAAGATACGTATATACTGTTTTCAGATTTATAACTAGGCAGTATCATGGGCACACATTCATTTCAGTTGTTTGACTTTTGGTTTACAACTTAAATTTATTGGTTTCACTTCAAAACCTATGGTAAACGGAATGCATTATTATAGTTGGTATGGACAAAGTGTAAGTTTACGCGGTTAAATGAATTAACCAGACACTAATGTTAGTTAATTTGCTTGTCCCGACTTAGATCACTTTACGTGTTCGTCTCGAAGTACCTATACATACAACAAAACTACATTATAATTCATATTGACCGATCGCAAAAGCTATAATTGCAATTTATTAATATTATTCTTTATGTAATAATGTTATGTTTTGATAATAATTATTACGTTTGAACTTCTTAACTTATTTTAATGTTTAATGTTGTTATTTTTTTTGTAATTTATTGTTATAAAGTTTTATATGACAATAATAAAAATTAATCAAAAATTAATTTATTTTAAATTCGTTTATATTTGTATGCTAGGTAACCATTTGAAAAAAATTGGGAAATGTACCTGAGAAATAAGTATAACTGATAATAAATTCTGTCATTTAATCATTAAAATAAATACTTGTGCTAGTCATAATGTAATTTTATTGTTAAACAATTGATTGTTTTGAGCCTATATTTCATGAGTCAGTATTGTTGGATTACAGTTAGAGTTTAACAAACATAATAGAACACCTTTATAGCTACAATGAACATATTAAAAAAAAGCATAAGACATTAAGCTAGTTTAAAATTTCACTACGGACAGTGCTCATTTGTATATATTAGGTTATTATCTATATCAATTGTTAACATGGATTTTTATGTAAACGTCATCAATTAAGTCTCTGAGTGCAAATAAATAAAACTAATTATGTATAATATTTTGTATTATTATGAAATATGTAATATATTTTATACTTTAAAATTTTAAATGTTTTTTTTTTTCAGGATGTCGGATCCAACCGCACCCAGGGTGCACGATTCAAACACCTTGTTTCTAATGGAACTTCAACAAAAATGCTTATCGAACGCTACAGGTTAGAACATATTTCCTTACATTTCATTTTGATGACCTTATCCTCACAGTTTGGAAAACTTCAATGATTTGCAGTGAAAACAACAACGAATTCATGTCCTCGGTATTTCGACGGATGGGCGTGCTGGAATGAAACATTACCTAATACCACCGCGTTCGCCCAGTGTCCATATTATGTGATTGGATTCGATCCGTCTAGTAAGCTAATTTTAATATTAATATTAACTGCAGCTGTGTTTTTATTTCCATTGAACTTCTATACTTAATATTTGGTTTCACGTCGTCCCGTTTTTTTAATCACACGAATAAAACAATTGTATATTTATTTCAATACACCCATAACGACATATTATTGTCTTATTTGAACAAAAAATAACCTTTCTCTCTACTTTGACGTATCTAGGATTTTTAAGAGGGGTGTCACCACTCACCAAAAAATATTTATTTTATTACTATTCATACATTAAAATTAAGCAAGGTTATAAAAGAAGAAAAAAATGATTTAGATATTATAAAAACAGTTGGACATCCGCAGAACATTTATGATTATGTAAAAAAGTAAGCAGTTATAACAATATACAATTTTATCTTATAGTTCTGGTGGAAAAAATAATATTATTATTTGTATACCTGATTATAATAATTTATATTATACACAAACTAAATGGGTGCGTCTTATCATCCAAACATCCCCTTACCCTTGCATACGCCACTGTTTCCAGCAGTATGTACTAGAATTGCACATCTAAACCTCAGTGTGATTATTTATTTAGTAATAAATTGTATGAATAAAATATAATACAATAAATAAAAATAAAATTAATATTCTAGTATGAGATACTAGAAAATTAATATGAATTTGGGAATTCCATAACTCGACCACAATGATGGTGTGTAGTCAAATTGCCTATCCAACACGCCGTGTGATCAATTTTATTATTGAAACACATAATAATGTATTATGTTCACTTGATTTAATTTATTTCTATGCTGGAAAAGTTAATATGTTAATATGTAGCTATAAAAAATATAAATATAAAATTGAATGTGAATATAATATTATACCATCATCGCCACAACTAAAATTAACTAAAGGACCTATTATCTTGTTAAAGTTCTTATTATACAATTGTAACACGCATGTAGGTACCTATGTTCGAATTTTTTCTCCTGAATACATACAATTGAAACAATTCGTGGCGGACGTAAGATGCAATAATATTCGAAGTTTTATACACATGTGTATTTCACACTGACGAATTGGTTAATAAACACCTCAGACACACATAATAATTGTAATAGCAAAATGTGGTCAGTTGCCGCTTGCCAAGACATTTGGTCGGGTGAAGACGTATAGCAGCAAAATAAAATTTCGGAAACGATTGCAGTTGGTCTGATACATCCAAATGATTATAAGTGTTGGTTGTAATTCCTCGTGCATGTGGTTCGAAACCGGATGTTAAACGAAGCGAGCAGAGGGCGTCTATGTGACTTCCATAATCAACAAAAGTAAAAGTGAATGATTGATTATTAAATAATATATAAACTAAGTATAACAGGAAAACCTGTCAAATTAAATAACTTTTGTGCTATTCAATATTTTCTATCATTTTTTACAGAAGCTTGAGTGTCACTTACAGAGTAAAAATTTTTCCGTTAGTTGCATTTAAAAAAAAAAAAAAAAAACTAAATAGCTTATTTGCAAATCTGGTAGAAAAATGTCGACTGTAAAAAAATGTATTTAAGTCACGCAGTTTATTTTCAAGCAGTTTTTAAAAACTCATTATTGGCATGTAGGGCACAATTCAATACCTTATATATTATAAGACAAACAAATTGATATTGGCTAGAACAAATATTATTTAATTTGCCAGGTCTTCCTGTTACACCATGTATATTATATATTTCTACTATTATAAGCGGTATAATGTGCCCCGTCAGACCGTTTCTATTGTAGGAATTAGGTACATCATCCTGATGGGGTAACACGATTTCCGGTAGTTTTGTTCGATCGTTATTCCGGTCGTCGTTCTCGTCACCGTCATCGTCTCAGTTCTGACTTTATCATATAATATATTATTATTATTTTAATCGAGGGTCACTTTTCTCTAGCGATATCCGATCATGACATCGGATAAATATCTGACGTCAATATTATTATCACCACATCAACGTGGTTCGGGTTGGACGTTCGCCGTTTCCACTGTATTTCCGGTAGCGGTTATTAAAATGTGTCTTGTCAATATACACACACCGAGAGATCTAGCTTATGTATAAAACCGTGAATATACGTCAATGTGTCTGCGGTAGAGACTTGTGGACTCTTTGGGTGGCCGTAGCCAATATTCCTCCAAAAATGAAATACCTTATACCTCCATTGTTCATTCAACTTAAAAAAACCAAACGATTCTTGACTATCTTTTAATACATCATCTTGAAGTTAGAAATTCCCACCCTCACCCACTTATAATCAGTTTGAATAGGTAGTTGGTTTTATTAAATTAAATTGAAAATCATCGTAATTGAAATTATCGTCAATATTTAATTACCTATGTATTTTTATATGAATAATTTGTTTTATTATTTGTATTTATATAAAAACCTATTTAATAATATCCTACATAAAAGTACCCAATAAATAATTTTAATATTGGGAGAAAAAATAAAGATGATTCTATCGAAAAAGTTGTGTGTAAGGAAATTGAAAGTATCTTTTTTGAAAAAAATGAACCAACGAAAGAAAATTGTATTTACCCCTTTTTGAGGAAAATTGACCCACTCTCTGGGTGGTATCGCGATATTAAAAGAAATATTTGTGAGGTTAGTCATATAATGTTATGCGATATTTGTTAAGTTGTATAACAATTATTAAGACCTCAAGTATCAATAACAGCTTACATCAGTTTACAGGTTTACACTTAAAGCTCTATTGTAGTACGTACTCTCCAGTTTACACTAACGACTTTTATGTTAAAATGAACCCTGCAGTTATACAATGCTATAATATCATACACAATTTATAAAATAAATTATATAAATAGATATAAATGTAATTGATACGTAGAGATGTTAGATTATAAAAACAAGTACCTATAGGGGATAAAATAAATAAAAATTATTATTTTCAAAACTATGTTTTTATTAAAATGTTATTACTGTAATGTAACCTTTTGGATATCCCAGTCGTACTTTTAATATATAAATAAAATATGTAAATAAAAAAAAAAATGGAAAAGTACTGCTGTACTGTGGTTTATGCTCTCTTTCTCTTTGAATTTTAAACGTAGTATAAAAGTTATTACTATCAATAGCAACAAAGGATAATATATACATTATACACAATACACATATTTCAAACAAAAAAGAATAACATTGGTAAAATTAGTTTCCCACAATTATATTATATTACAAAATGTACGTACTTATTCGAAGATATTAAAAATGATAACTTGTCGGGTTTTTTTCAAAGAAAGATTCATAGAAACAAATTGTTGGTTATACAAATTATAAATATCAGTAGCTGAAAGTTACTTATCTATTATTTTAGTCTAAACTCTAAAAGTTAAATGAATTTATAATAATAATAACCTGGAAACATCCTAGAGAAATTCGGAATCGGAATCACCTGACTCTTCGCCTCGGAAAAACTGACGATATCGTACACCTAGATATACTAGTATTCTCACATACTGAAAATATTCACGTGCGGTGAAGTTAATTACTCGAATGTAATATTATTATAGTTCAATGAAGCTTGTGTATTTTAATTTATATTAATTAAGTAATCAAGTATAACTCGCCATTAATAACTACAAACCAACTGCGAGAACACTGATCGGGTGATTCGTCAGGAATAAAACTCACTATACTGCGGTAGCCAAACAATATTGGCAATAGTGTTAGTCTTCCAAGTCAGTCAACCAATAAAAACGATATGCTATTGTGGATTCATCTGCTGCCGAGCGGTTTTCTTTTGTTTGGCATTGGTATACCACGGTTATGGTTACATCAGTCTCGCTATGGAAGAAAAAGGACTCTAATGTATAATATTACTGCCGTTTCGTCAGGATAATAATAATAATAATAATAATAATATATTATGATGTTCGATAAGACGGGACGGAGAAATACTCGTACATTAAACCTATCGTGGCAGTTTCGGGACGAGAGTACAATACATTGTAGTATAGGTACTTATGATATTATATTAAATTATATTATATTTTATTATTATTATTATTATTATTATTATTATTATTATTATTATTATTATTATTATTATTATTATTATTATTATTATTATTATTATTATTATTATTATTATTATTATTATTATTATTATTATTATTATTATTATTACACCTAGACCGGACCGTAACTTTTATTGACGTTCAGTCTTCGCTTCCACCCGTTAAACGCGTACCTATAACATGAAGACCAATATTATATTTCAGTTTTATCATAATAATATATTAAGCAGCATTGTGTGCCACAATGCACAGGTTTGTGTGATATATTGTATTATTACCATGATTTTACATCATAATAATATTATATTATACTATACAGCGATTTTTAAAGTTTTCCGTGACATCTTTTAAGAATGATTTCCTGCCCATGAGTATAATCTAAATCGATGTTAGGTTAGGTTTCTAATATAATATATCTTATAAAACACCGCACGATGATGTGTGTCATTAGACTGAACATTCCAAAATACTTACATAGCACGACATGCGAAAACAGGCGATCGATTAATTTAGAGGAATCAAATTTTAGGGCGCATGTACACTTCGCCACAAGTACCTTTTTTAAGAAAAAAACTTGTAAAACTGGGTTCTAGTACACTCCGCCTATGAAGAAAATCGATTAAAAGTATAAAATTAATATTACATATGACTAAAAAAAAAATCAAAATTTGTAGGATTAGTAATCGTGCACATTAAATAATAGATATATACCAAAAAATATGTACAACTTAAAAATAAATAGTTAATTAAAACTATAAAAGACTAATCAAACACTATAAGATTGACATAATATAAAATCATTATTTTTTTAATAAAAATCGTTCTTATTAAATAATATTTAGGTGTGCATGTATACCAAAAATGAAAATACACAAATCTTAAAAATAAAAATAATAATATTCTCTGAACAAATCATACAAATTATAATGTCTATAAAGTCAAAAAATT